TTGTTACATATGTGCTAAACTTTCAAACAGATTGAGATATTTCTCAACCACAATCGATCGTATCCTCATTATGAATGAAGAGAAAGTTACATGAATAGTGTTTCCATGTAGATTTTAATTACAGTTACAAATCAGAGTTAGAGTACATTGTGGTTTGGAGAACCATATGCAAAGATGCTTAATGTATAGTTCATTATGACTATGAGTAATCTCATTACTTAAGTATTGGTATCTAAGTCATATTTAAGCATCTAATACATTCTCATTAGTTTTCTTTATATATATATATATATATATATATATATATATATATATATATATATATGAAGATGTTTGTATTCACAAAGTTTATACACATCAAGTTTGACAAATCTACTTGACAAAGCTCCTTCATTAGCTAAAGCATGAAAGTCAAGTTGGTGCTATAGGGCCTTGTTGATATAAGTAGTTGTATTTGATTGAAATTTAGTATTTGGATATTGGAACAGTACAAGAAACATATATTGTAATGAATTGATATAATGGATTTGAGTCTTTCATTGAATAATTGTTGTGTTCTGTATTAGCATGTTTAAATCCTTGAATAACTAGGTTATTCTAAATGTCCATAGTCGTTCATAATTGTGGGAGCATCTACAAGGTAAGACTAATATGAGTGGATTGGTTGATTTTCATGGAGATGAAAATAGCGAGAGATGCTACCAACTTTATAGGTACTTGATTAGGAGAATATGTATTGGACTTGACCCGCATCAAAATCAATTTATGGATCGTAGCCAAGAGTGATGTTTTGATCAAGGTTGTATCTTTTTATTCTTAGACCGGCGATACATATTTGGGACTTGAAGTGTAGGAATCGGTGTGCTTTGACATGGTTTAACGATGTTTCGTTAAAGACAGTCATAAGGACCATCATTGGGTATGACATGAACTACATTGATGGGTGTATGTAGTTGAGATGGGATTTTTCCCTGTTATTCGTTGAGAGTTAGACATCTAAGGCCTTACTCAAAGTTGAACACTAAATGAGATTGATTGTGATTCATATCTCATGTACAACATGATGTCTGAGACAAAGGAATAATTGATACCACAACTTTAGTAATAATTGTAGCTTAGAGCTCCTGTAATTGGTTGTTGATGAGATAGCACCCTTCATATGTTGTTAGGGGCAGTAGCCCGTTGCTAGACGTCAACTACTGTCTATGTCAGTCTGTAATGAATCTTGTGCAAGTGGGAGATTTTTGAATCTATATGCCCAAGAATCATTATGGAGTGATATTGTTAATAATATATGATCCTATAGGGTCACACATTTATCAAGTTGGCACATTTTGTATATTTATTATTAATATGATTATTAATAAATAATATCAATTCTTGTATTTTAATTAGGGAATAGTTATTGTTTTCTGAAAATAATAATTGTAAGAGATTATAACTAGTTATTTTTTCATATGATATGAATTAATAAGTCATGCACAACATTTTGGACTAGTTGGATTCTTTTGTCTTTTACCTAAAGACAAAGTTTATATTTTATAAACTTAGAGTTTAAAAAAATAAAGAATTCATCCTCTTTTGAGAGGTATGGCCGAAACACACACACACATACACACACACACACACACACACATATATATATATATATATATATATATAATATATATATATATATATATATATATATATATATATGTATATATATATATGTATATATATATATATATATATATATATATATAAGAATGGAGGTTGCTTTTCAACCTCCATGCTTTGTTTCCCATGCTTCTAAAGGCTAGGAATACTTTAAAGTATTTTAATCAAAAGCCCTTACTTTGCATGGACTATATAAGAGTGCTTCTTGCATGGTTTTTGGGAATGTTTTTGGTCTTAACACTTCACTTAAAGCTAGTGGCCGAAACTCTCTCTTTCTTTCTCTCCTCCTCATCTCTCTCTCTCTTTTGATGTTAGTTTGGTGATTTAGAAGCCTTCTTGAGTTGTCTCCGTTAGTGCTTATTTGAGTTAAGCACTTAAAGGCTTAAGACACTTAAGAATACAAGAAGGAACTAATATTCCAAGTGCCTTACTCTTGATGGTGGATACATATAGAGAAAATCATGCTCTTTGATTTTTTGCTATCTTCATCAATACCCCAAAACCAAGTGGGTTCAAAGGCTTCAAAGGTTGTCATTCTAAAAACTCTTTGGTTGTTTTATTTAATTCTAACCTCTATAAATGGATCATTGATGGTTTGGTTTTGTTATAAACTAAAAATAAACTTGTTATTTTTAACACCTTCGTTGACCGGTTTTTATGAAAAACTAACTTATATTTTGTATCAAAACCCATCAAGAGTGACCAAAATGAAGAAAAATAAACAAGTTCAATGACTAATGGTAGCTTAAACAAAATATAATGACCAAAATAAAACATCCAGAAAAATTCAAGACTAAAAATAACATAAACCCTTATATTAATTTTGATATTATATAATATACATCAATATTTGAAAGACAAAACTGCACAAATGGTCCCTGTGGTTAGCTGAAAATTGTCATTTTGGTCCAAATTTTTTTTGACTAGCACCAGAGGTCCAAAATTTTCATTTTTGTGCAAGTTTGATCCAATTTGCTTTGAACTTTTTTATAATGACGATTTTACCCTTTATTCTTTTATTTTCTATTTTTTATTACAACTATTAAAAACCAATTAAAAATAAAAGATAAAACTCCACAAATAAAACAAAACTAAAACCCATTGCACCACCGGTCACCGCCGCTTCCACCACTGTTCACTGCCGCTTCCACCACAACCAGACACTACCGTATGATGAACTCAAACAATATTTTCTAGATCTGCAACTCAAACTCAAAATTATCATATTTGTAAACTCTTACCATCTATATCTCTTCCTAATTTATACACATATATACAAAGATGAAGATACCAGATGAAGATTTGAACCAACTTCTAACACAAACACACACACATACAACAACCAATCTTGGTTATTCTTAAACACACAAACACTCCAGAACACATGAACAATAAGATTTATAAAGCAAGAATAACCATCAAATTTGTAAACCCACAAGAACAGCTGATTACAAGATTTGTAAAATCAAAAGCACTAATTACCGGATTTGTAAAACCCTAGATTTCTCATATACGAAATCCAGAAATTGACAAGAATATGGATTTGTAAACCACACCCTTGAACCTGAAAACAAATACACATATAACCGTTTGAATTTTTCAAGAACTACAAAAAACCATAGAGCCGCCACCGCCATTCTCGCTGTCGGACGTCGAATCACACTCTGCCATTCTCGATTTGTCTTTTCCGATAGTGAAAACCCTATCCATCGCGTTGTCGCCTTTCTTGATCTGAAAACCTGTGTATAAGCGTCTTTCTAAACCCAGAACCAACATGCCGCTTCCGTTCTACGCATTTCCAGATCTACCAGATCTACTGGTATGATGGTCGCTAGGGAGGGTACGGATGGTTGTAGTATTGAACGGAGGCTGAATAATGGTGGTTGTTCATCAGGAGAGAGAGAGAGAGGGGGGGAGAGAGAGAGAGAGAGAGAGAGAGAGAGAGTGTGTGTGTGTGTGTGTGTGTGATTTGGTCTCACCAGATTACGACTTTTTTAGGTTTGGCAGCGAAGACTCCTTCCTTTGTCTGGACCATGTCGATTTCGGACCTTGAAGCGGGGGAAGCTGAGTGGTCGGAAGCGGAAAGGGGTTGTAATTGAGCGGCGTGAGTGGAGGAAAGTATTGGTGGTGGTGAATATGAAGGAGTATAAAGGGATCTGGCAAGAATAAGGGGAAAGAGGAGGAGATGCAGAATTGAGTTTGAGAGAGAGAGAGAGAGAGAGAGAGAGAGATTTTTTTTAAATCTGAAAATCAAAAATATAATTAAGAAAAAAAAGAAAATCATATTAACAAGGGCAAATTCATCATTTTGAAAAAAAATCAGAATAGATTGGACCAAACAAGCAACAAAAGGAAAACTTTGGACCTCTGGTGCTAGTCCAAACTTTTTTGGACCAAAGCGACAATTTTGAGCAAACCACAGGGACCATTTGTGCAGTTTAGTCTATTTGAAATGATGAAGTATAAAAAATGAAAGTGATTCATTCACAACAATGTATGTTTTATAAAATTATATTGTACAACATTTTAAAACATAAATTGTTATGTATAGAGAAAAATTATTATATACGAATTAGCTCAAATAAAATGTTATTATCTTAGATAAAAGGTTTATCACGATTTTTTGGAAACCAACTTTTCATAATGTTTTAAAGTTGCCAAGTAACCGATTTTATATTTTAAATTGGTAACAAACTTCGATTTTTTAAACTAACTGTTGTATATAAATCTGTTCTCATAAAAACATCATTATGTTTTAGTAAAAATCTAATTTTCACACTGTCATTTTTTTGTTACAATTTAGTTGGTAAGTGCTCTAATTTTACAATATTGATCATTTAATCGATCAACCCAATTACCCGATGACATATCCATATTTGTCTCTATGGTGACATGACATGTCAACGGTTAAATGATTCATCAACTGATTAAGTGGTCAACATTATAAAAACTAAAAAGGATTAAATTGTAGCAAAAAATAACACAATGTCAGCATCAAATTTTTATAAGAACATGATAGATTTTTGTGGAGTGTACCCTAAATCCGTGTTTGACAAATTATTAATAAACTACTTTATAAATTATGATAATTTTTTTTATAAAGTTAACAAACGTTAATAAGTTTTGACGTGGTAATAATTTGAAAATTATATTGATGGTTGAATCAAAGCCATAATTCCATGAGTCTCAAACACTAACATGACAAATTGAAGATTGAAATAAAATTGAGAAAAAAATGTGGTGGCGGCCAGAACTCAAAATGGTCCCATCTTCAACGAACTTTCCTCCCCCAGTCATTCTCTATATATAATTCTCCTCCTCCTTATGAACTCCTCAACTAAACAATATTCACTTCATTCAACCTTTTTCTGCTACTGATTCCTTCGTCTTCTTTAAAGCATAATTAAATCAATAGAGTCATCAATGGAGGTCGCCATGAAGAACACCCAAAACATGTTATCGAAGATCGCAACCAACGACGGACATGGTGAAAACTCTCCCTATTTCGACGGTTGGAAGGCGTACGACGCCAATCCCTTCCACTCTCAACACAATCCCGCCGGCGTTATTCAAATGGGTCTTGCCGAGAATATGGTATACATACATACATATATTAATGCATTTAATTTATTTACACCAGATTGGAAATTTTGAATTTCGTTATACTAATCTGTTTGTTGGTTCTTCAGCTTTGTTTTGATTTGATCCAAGAATGGATTCAAGCGAACCCGACTGCTTCAATATGTACCCCACAGGGAGCTTCGGATTTTAAAGAGACTGCCATTTTTCAAGACTACCATGGCTTGCCGGAGTTCAGAAACTCCATTGCTAATTTCATGAGCCGAGTTCGAGGAAACCGTGTGACATTTGACCCTGACCGCATTGTGATGAGTGGTGGCGCCACCGGAGCTCATGAAACGCTGGCTTTCTGTTTAGCAAATCCCGGCGAAGCATTCTTAGTTCCCACCCCTTATTATCCAGGGTATGCACATCTCTCTGTAAAAAGACATGTTAGAAGAATTTTCGTTTCATATATATGTTCCACTAAATAACTCCAATTTCAACTTTGCAGGTTCGATCGAGATTTGGGATGGCGAACTGGAGTCAAGCTTTTACCGGTGGTTTGTGAAAGCTCAAATAACTTCAAGATCACCTCAGAAGCTCTCGAAACTGCCTACGAGAATGCAAAACTAGCCAACATTAAAGTCAAAGGGCTGTTAATAACAAACCCATCAAACCCATTGGGAACTTTCCTCGACAGGGAAACCTTAAAAGATCTAGTGACTTTCATCACCGACAAGAACATCCACCTCATATGCGACGAGATCTATGCCGGCACAGTCACCAAAGGTGATGAATTCATTAGCATTGCAGAAATCATAAAAGAAGAGCCCAAATGCAACCTGGACTTGATTCATATCGTTTATAGTCTCTCAAAAGACATGGGATTCCCCGGGTTTAGAGTCGGAATCGTATATTCCTACAACAACAATGTCGTCAACATCGCTCGTAAAATGTCGAGCTTCGGGCTGGTTTCGACTCAAACCCAACACATGCTCGCCTCCATGCTATTGGACAATAAGTTTGTTGACAACTTTATATCCGAGAGCCGAATCAGGCTAGCCCACAGGCACGATATGTTTACCCGTGGGCTAGCCCAGGTCGGAATCGGGAGCTTGGAAAGCAACGCGGGCTTGTTCTTTTGGATGGATTTACGTCGATTCCTAAAAGAGCCAACTTTTGAATCTGAAATGACATTCTGGCGGACTATAATATGTGACATTAAGTTGAATGTCTCACCAGGCTCATCATTCCACTGCTCTGAGCCTGGCTGGTTCCGTGTTTGTTTTGCAAACATGGACGATGAGACCACTATGATCGCGTTAAGAAGGATTAAGACGTTTGTGCTAAAGAACAAGATGCTCGAGATCAAGACCATGAGACCTTGTTGGCAAAACAATCAACATTTCAGGTTATCATCACGAAGGCTTGACGATATGTTGACTCCTCACCGGATGTCACCTCATTCCCCGCTTGCCTCGCCGTTGGTGCGGGCGCATAATTAGACCAGCATGCGTTGTTGATGCATTAAGTACAATAGATGCAAGCAAGGTTTTTGACATAAAGAGTGTAAGGGTATAGAAGTGTGAGAATTGTATAGTCTCTATGACATAATTATTTGTTGCATGACATGACCTATTGTGTAAAATAAAGTTTGAATAAAAATTTAATGAAATTGTTCTATGTATTACTATAATAATTGAGTTGACTTACTAGTCTTTTGGATTTTATATATAAAAAAAGTACATTAATATAAATAATTAAATTATTATTAATGCAATACCCAATTTCCTTAAATGAAAACACCAATCAACCACTTTGATTTGACTCTCCATTAATGTTATTTCTGTAGACATTGAGGTTTTAAACACTTTTTTTCCTATTTATCTTTTACAGGTTATATTCGATTTCACCTGTTAAACCTTTTTTTTTTTTTTTTTTGTTTGTGTGTGTGTTTGTTTTGTGTTTCCTATATGATCATAACTTTTTTTTTTCGTATAGGAGTCTCCAAAAAAAATAATTACTTTTTATGCATTTTACTACCACTTTTGCATTTATAATGTATTGTATGGCAATATGTTTCAATGCATAGTTTTGTACTAATAAAATGGCGTAAGATAGTTAATTTAATGTCTTAATATATGAAAGAAAATATATAGATAATAAGATACTAGCATTTAGTTATTATTAATAATAATTATATAACCAATATAGAATAATGATAATAACTGGTTGGTGGATTTCAATTTTCACTTAAACATTTAATTAAGTATATTTCCAAAAAATAACAAGCCATTTAGCATAATGTTTCGCTAATTCAGATGATATAACAAAACGAAAAAAAATTAGTGTTCAAAGAATATAATATAATTTAATTGAAAAAAATTAGAGGTACAAAATGAAGACAAGTTGCAAGTTGCAAGACGTCAGCCTTTAGAAGTTAGAACCGCCCACATGCCACACTAACGAATGTTTGCATTTTTGGATTCGGAGATGATTCGGATTGACAATTTGACATATAAAATACAACCCTTACACTTATCTCTAGAGTCGTCGCATATTGGTTTCCATGGATTCTCCAAACAAAGGCAAAAGAAAATTTCAACATGCATTGCCTATTTTTAGAACGTATCACTATTGTAGATAAGGTAAAGTATAGCAAAAGTAGCCACTAGAAACCTATTTCAAACACCGTTGCAATGGTGATCTGTCACAAATTCTACTTATATTTTGCTAGAAGAATGTCAAAGTATTATGTAGGATATAAATTTATGTTGTTAACATGTAAAAAAATATATTTTTTTGGAACCGACAAATATATTAAAACAACCCTGGCTCTATGGATGAAAGTGGGTCCAAACCCGGACCGGATCGACCCGGACCCGGAAAACCCGGAACCGGTTAACGGGATTTTGTAAAACCGGAAACCGGACCGATATATAGGAACCTATTCCGGTTCGGTATCGGGTAAAGTGGGTCTAGAACCGGAAAACCCGGAAACATCAAAGTGGGTAGGTTGGAACCGGATAAAGTGGGTTTAGAACCGGAAAACCCGAAAAAAACCGGAATTTTTTGGTAATTACTTACTACTTAGTGGGTTGAACTTTAAAAATTTTCATATTGATATCCTGACTTTGGGGGACTGTAACTCATTGAATATGAAACCAAAATTGACAAAATTATAGTCAAAAATCATGTACAAACTCTAAACTACACTCTCGAAAAAACCGCATGTCAATTCGACTTTAAGCGAATGAGATATGCATGTGTTAACATTTTCACAGAATACAAAGTACAAAAACAAATAGCTGAAAAGTTGAAATTTTTTAGTTTTGATATCCAGACTTCTAGGGACTGTAAATCATTGAATGTTAAACCAAAAATGACAAAATTATAGTCTAAACTCATGTACAAACTCTAAACTACAAGTTGGAAAAAGCCACATGTCAATCCGACTTCAAACGAATTAGATATGCATGTTTTAAAACTTTCACAGAATACAAAAGAACTGAAAAACTAAAAACTTTTAGCTTTGATATCTCGACTTTGGGGAAACTGTAAGTCAATGAATATAAAACTAAAAATGGCAAATTTATAGTCTAAAATCATGTACAAACTCTAAACTACACGTTGGAAAAAACCGCATGTCAATCGGAGTTGAAACGAATGAGATATGCATATTTTAAACGTTTCACAAAAACCGGCTCCGGCCCTAAAAGTGGTTCCGGTTCCTAACATCGGTTCCAATTTTTAGACTCGGTTTACCCGGACCCGATGGACCCAAACCCGGATAAAGCTAATTTTTAAACCCGGAACCAGAACTGGTTCTATATATTCCGGTTCTAACGGTTCCGGTCTGGTTTTCCGGTTCTAAATCTTATCCCTACCTGCCTCCATCCGCCTAGCAAGTCACTAGACGAGCAGGGAAGCAGGAATAAAAGTACAGAGAGTTTACATGCAAAGTAAAGCGGAGATAGACCAATTAATCCATCTATAACAACATTTCAACCTTCTATGTTTGATGATAAACAAATGGGACTTGATAAAATCAGCCACCTTTGTTGGGTGAATGCATATATTTTTGAGTACTCTATCACACTGCGGCTTCCAAATACACCATATCATCCCATAGCATATGGAAATTAGGTTATTTCTTTGTTCCTTTCCTTGTCCAAACGAAGCAATGAACTTAGTTATCTCTTCAATTGTCGAGATCTAGGGCATAGGATTGCCACACCATCTAAGAATCCATTCCCATTCGATTTTTGCAAATGGGCATGCGAGCAAAACGTGATCAAATTCCTCCTCCACTATCATACAATAACTACACATAATGGAACATGTGTCTACACCTCTCAGCTTAAGCGCACATAATGTTGGTACTCGATTCTGAATTGCTCTCCAAATAAAACCTATAACCTTGATGGGTGCCTCACGACTCCATTCCACACAATCCGCCATAACTGGATTTTCTGGATTGTCAATTTCATACCTGAGGGCAGCCACCTGGAAAACCACATCAGCGGTGATACCACATTTCTAACCATCATCGGAAGTACATGGTTGGTGTAACACCCAAAAATTTCAGCCGATTTAAAACTTTTAAACACATATCAAATCATTAAAATCATTACAACTTTGTTTTCAAAATGTATAATATCAGAGTTTTCCCAGAAACATAAACAAATCATGAGGAGCTGTATGATCACGCCTTCGCCTTGCCGCGATCCCCTGGTGTACCTGAAACAATAAACTGAAACTGTAAGCCCGAGAGCTTAGTGAGTTCCCCCAAAATACCAACGCCATACAAATACCATATAACAAATACATAATAGTATGCATAAAGAGCCTTCAGCCTGACTGGACCGCCTCACAGGGCCTACAGTCTATCTGGACCGCTCCCGAGCCTTCGGCATGACTGGACCGCCTCGCAGGGCCTACAACCTATCTGAACCGCTCACCGGGTATGTTGGCCTTCAGTACAAAGCAGGACCACCTCAACCCAACCCCCAATCAAACAAACATGTGCTCATAAATATCATACGCTAGCTCATATTATATAACAGTCAACCGATCTAGCAGATCCCTAATCATAACAACATCCCAATAACCGGGATATAGACCTAACCGGTCTCTAACATAGCATCATCCTATAACCAGGACACTGACCTAACCAGGTCACTAAGCGTAAGCATAACACCATCCTAACTACCAGAATGAAAATCAGTAAGCATAACATGCAATAATCCGAATACAATCCATAAAGGGCCGGCCTTGGTGCCTTAGACCCTGTTGATATAGTGAGGATAACTCACCTCGCAAGTAGCTCGGAAGGTAACGTCAAACTCTTCCAAAAGTAACTCCAACTCCAACACCTATATTCACAAATGTCCTTTGCTATCGATATTCAATTTACCAAAATACCCTCAGAAGTCACTGGTCAACCCTTGGTCAAGGTCAAAGTCAACTATCAAGGTCAATAGTCCATGTTGACCTCAACTCGTCGAGTACCCTCAACTACTCGCCGAGTTCCTGACATAACTTACCAACTCGCCGAGTCACTTGAGTGACTCGTCGAGTTTCTAGTGTCAGTGGCCGCAAACCCCTTGGCCAACTCATCGAGTTTCCCCCTACAACTCGCTTCATTCGTACGTGTTCAAAGGTTGGGAAAACCCTAGCCGGCTCGTCGAGTCATTCAACTAACTCGCCGAGTTCAAGGCAATCTTCATTGGACTCGCCGAGTTGTTCACCCAACTCGTCGAGTACAGGACTATCTTCATGAGGCTCGTCGAATTGACTATGCGACTCACCGAGTCTCTTCAGAGCTTCACCCATACAGACACTTTTTAAGCCATGCAGCGGCTCCATATTGCAAATCCAACCTCCCAAGGCCTGATTATCACGTAAAGTTGCAAACTTTACGTTCATGCAAAGCTTTAAGACCCTTAAATGGAAAAACTAAGCTTGAAATGAAGTCTCACACTTGAGGGAAGGCTCCTACTAGGCAAGGCTGATGGCTTTATGGATCTAGAGGTCAAAGGGAGTCCAGATCTGAAGTTACAACTTCAGATCTTAGCTCAAACATGAGAACAGCTTAATACCTTCCAGAGAGTGACAACTGATGAATCTCTTAGCTCCCCACGAGTTCTTAGCCTTGATTTCCTTGCTTCCCCAAGTGTTTCCTTCTCCAAAGTTCCTCCTCCAAGCTTGAACACACCAAAAGAACACACACACACGATTTAGGGTTTGAGAGGGACAAGAAGCAGTAAAGGGGAGGCTGGGGGAGGCCAATGATCCTTTAAATAGGGTGCAATACCCTGAAATTTAGTGTTTCAGCTGCCAGCTTCTACTCGTCGAATCCATTCTTGGACTCGACGAGTAGGTCACTAAAATACGTGGACCAATCCGCTGCTACTCGACAAGTAGGGCAACAAACTCGTCGAGTAGACCTTGGAAATCAAAGAATTTATTATTTAAATCAACACCTGAGAATTGGGGCGTTACAATTCTCCCCCACTTGAACCAGACTTCGTCCTAGAAGTCTGCTGCGGCGAATAGTCCCGGATAGTGCTTCCGCATTTCTGCCTCTGGCTCCCACGTCCACTCGGACCCCCCTACGATGCTCCCACTGTACCTTCACCAAA